TTTCTGGGCCTGCAGAAGTAGCCCACTCAACCGTGATAAAGGCTAGCACCTTCCTTGCTTAAACATAATGAAGAGGCCTCTGCCTTGCAAAACAACATATACTTCTCTCAGGATCTATTTCCATCTCCTCTCCAGGCTGTCAGGTGAATAATGGGTTCAAGTGTCAAGCCAATCTGGCTGCATAAGAATTGGTTCTGTTTAGGGAGGAAAGGCACTCACTGAAGGAGCCACAGGTCCTCCACATTTACTGGCAGGAGCTGAGAAAGTCTATGTGGCACTAGATTCTGAGGAATGGTTCAAGGGTGGCAGAACACACACTTGGAAAGGGAAAATTTATTGATATGTTAGCATTCTCTAGGGATAAGGACTTAACACCCTGACATGGTACTAGTATGGCTCGTGGTGGAAGCTTGGAAAAAGCGATGGCCCAAACAAAGTGAAGTAGAAATGTCGGAATTGCTGTGGCAGACAGTGGAAGAAGTCCTAAAAGGTGTAGAAAAGTGGGCAGGATACAGTTAAGACTAAAAGGTGTAGAAAAGTGGGCAGGATACAGTTAACATGCTACACAAGGGTGAAAAACCCACCAGCCAATCCCAGAGGACACCATGTTTACCAAAGAGACAGGTAATGCATGGGTGAGGGCCACCGCCCAGGCTGATGGTAGGCAACTCTATTAAATAACTGGTCTCCTTGATGGTAATGTGGATAAGACCCTGAATAACAGAGGCCAGATGGCACTACGTTCTTAATGAGCATCGTAGTTGAAAGCTGCCTTGTGGGCATGAGATGCTGAGCTATAGAGATGAGTAATGGAACATGGTGTCTTATGGGCAAGAGAGATGGGCTGCCAACAAGGGTATTGTTCAACTGAAGCAAGTTAAAGAAATCAAGGATAAATTACCATGAGGCTAAAGGAAGCTGCCCCAATAAATTAGCGTAATCCCTTGCCCTATTTCCTCATTTGAACCAGTTTTCAGGCCTAGAGCCCACTGACTGAAGGAGACACTGGGTCTCCAGGAGGAGGAAGAACCCTGCCACACCACAGCAAGTATATATGATGAGTCTCCTGCTCCTTCCCCCAGGGACCTATGGCCATTTACTTGGGTAATTGTACACCATGGAAAGGTGAATAACCAGCTGTTTCAAGGACTGTTGGACACAGGTTTTGAGTCACTGGTACCTGCAACTGAAGCATCATTGTGGACACCCTGTGAGAGTGGGGACCCATGGAGGCCGGAGAGTGGCTCAGATTTGTTTCACGGCTCTCTTATCAAACCCAAGCTCCCTCCTGGTGGTCACTTCTCTGGTTTCTGGACACATATTTGAATGTGTGTCCACATTCAAACATGGTAGTATGGTAGTATGTAAACTACCACATACTTGGTCGTTTAAAGAATTCCCACACTTGAGCCCAGAACTATGCTATAAAAGCTAATATAGGCCAGGCATGGTGGCTCACGCCTGTAATCCCAGCACTTTGGGAGGCTGAGGAGGGTGGATCACCTGAGGTCAGGAGTTCGAGACCAGCCCGGGCAACATGGTAAAACTTGTCTCTACTAAAAATACAAAAATTAGCCAAGCATGGTGGCAGGCACCTGTAGTGCCAGCTACTCAGGAGGCTGAGGCAGGAGAATTGCTTGAACCAGGGAGGCAGAGGTTGCAGGGAGCTGAGATCGCGCCATTGCACTCCAGCCTGGATGACAAGAGCAAAACTCCGTCTCAAAGAAAAAGCTAATATAGTGGGGAAGACCCAGTGGAAACTACTGAATCTTCACTCTGTCCCCAAAGATAGTAAAACAAAAATCATATTGTATCCAGGGTTGAATGGTAGAGATAGTGCTACTCTTAAAGATCTAAGGGCAGGGCCTCGTGGCTCACAACTGTAATCCCAGCATGTTGGGAGACCGAGGTGAGAGGATCACTTGAGGCCAGGAGATTGAATCCAGCCTAGGCAACATGGTGAACTACAAAAAAAGTTAAAAAATTAGCTGGGCATGGTGGCAGGTTACCTGTAGTACCAGCTACTCAGGAGACTAAGGTAAGAGGATCACTTGAGTCCAGAAGTTCAAGGCTGCAGCAAGCTATGATCACATCATTGTACTCCAGCCTGGGCAGCAGAGTGAGACCCTGTCTCTAAAACAAGTACATAAATAAATTAGTTAAAAAAAAAAAACTAAAGGATGCACAAGTGATTATCCCCTCATGTGTACATGTTGCTCACTTGACTGTCTCCTACAATCCCATATGGATCCCAGGAGTGGGCTCCCACCAATTCAACTAGGTCGAAGCCCTAATTACAGCTACTGGGCTAGATGTAGTATCATTACCATGGTAGATGAACATGGCCTCTGGCTCATGGCATATGGCCATTCGTCTAGCAAATGTGTTGTCTTCTCTCCCTTTCAGGAAAGAATACCAGAAGCAGTTTGCATTAATGTGTGACAAACAACAGTATGGATTTACAGTCTTTCTCTAGGTTTTATGCTAACTCATGCCCTCTGTCATAATATAGTCCCATGGGACCCAGACTGTCTGGACATTCTAGAAAACACTATATTGGTCTAGTATGCTGAGGAATTATGTTAATTGAACTGACGAGCAAGAAGTGGCAAGTATGTAGGAGGCCTTGATAAGACACATGCATTCCAGAGGGTAAAAGATAAACCCAGTAAGGTTTCAGAGGCCACCTTGACAATGAAATGTTAGTGGTCTGAGGTCCATCCAGTGGTCTGAGGCATGCCGGGATATTCCTCCAAAATAAAGAACGAATTATTTCTTCTTGTACCTTCCACTAGCAGAAAGGAAGCACGATGCCTGACTGGCCTTTTGGGTGTGTGGAGAAAGCATAGTCCGCACTTGGGCGTAATGCTCAGACCCATTGACTGAAGGATGTGGAAAGCTTCTGGCTTTGAGTGGGGTCCACAGGAGAAAGGGCTCTGGGGCCTGAATTTGGCAGACTTTGCCCAATTTGATAGTAAATGGATAAGGACAGTGGCAAGAGACCATGGCCTGAGAAGGCATGGTGACTAGAACTCAGATCTCTTAGGAAGGAAGTTCTGGCTCACTCCACCAGGCAAGTCACTAGAACAGCAGACATGCTAGTCTAGGGTGAGGGAAAGGTAGAATGGATGGTAGAGGAAGGAAATCATGAATATCACTTGTGGTCTGAGACCACCTGTAGCAGCTGGGGCTGTAGTTTGTCCTGTTAGCATTCAGAATCCTGAAGGAGCTATTCCCAGGAGCTATTCCCAGAGTGGGTAAACTTACTATACAAATCAAGTGAATACAAGCAGTACAAGGGCTGCACTATAGTGGAGTCTGTGCTGGTCACCCAGATGCCCCCTCTGGGATGGAAGGGCTTATTTTCCTAGCTGCTAGGGGTGCTGGCTGCTGGCTGACCCCTACCCTGGGTGAAGCCCACAGTTAATCTTGGGTCAAGGTGATGTTTCAAAGGCTAGACCATGTGGCCTCAATTGGTGACATCTATGAAAGGCCCTCCCAGTTTCAGAGCTTTCTGTGGTGTCTGCTGAGGCCTCTCTTGCAATTGTTTTATGGTTCAACTTCTTTCCTTGCCCAGGTCTACTCTCTAATTCCCTGATAGGTGTTGTTTCCAAGATCATGCCCCAATATGCTTCCTGTACATGAGGGGTTTTCTCAAATATTTTCCCTGGGAGCAGACCCACAACACTAGGAAATCCAGTGTATCATAGCCCCATCCACCTTCCCCTGGCCATCAGATTTGAAGCATTTGGAAGTCCATTGATTGATAGAGTTCAAGCCCATGTCACAACTGGTCCAGAGTCTACTGACCCACCTGTGGTCATTTCGCTGGTCTTTAGGTATATAATGTAAATAGATATATTAGTAGATAGAAGCCTCAAATTGGTTATTTTACTTGTGATTCTCTGACCCATAGGAAAGGCCACGTGGAGGTCTCTGAGATGGCCCTCACCCTTTCCCGCATCTCCAGCCAAGATAATAAGTCAAAAACAAAATCTCATTTTGGTGGGATGGCAGAAATTAGTATCCCCCACAGCCCCAACCCCTGCCCCAGAGATTTGCAGGGATGGTTGTCTTGACCTTATCGCCATGCAAGTCATCTGCCTGACAATGGGCTACTGTGAATTTAATCGAGTGGTAGCTCCAAATTATAGTTGTGTATATATTGTATCTTTACTTGAACAAATTAGCCCAGTCTCTGTCACTTAATATGTAGCTATCAATCTGGCAAATGCGTGCTTTTCAATTCCTATCAAGAGGAAGGATCTGAAGCAGTTTGCATTTACTTGTAATGGACAGCAGGATACATTCCTTATCATGTCTCAGACCTATGCTTTTGCTATTGTCTGAATATTTGTACCAACTTGAAACCCATATATTGAAATCCTAACCCCCAAGGTGATGATATAAGGAGGTGGGGCCTTTGGGAGGTGATTATGTCATGAGGGCAGGTCTTCATGATTGAAATTAGTACCCTTCTGGAAGAGACCCCAGAGAACTAGCTAGCCCCTTCCACCAGGTGAGGATGCAGTGAGAATGTGCTGTCTATGAGGGATGAACCCTAACCAGACACCAAATCTACTGGTGCTTCGATCTTGGACATGTTGATTTCAATCTGGAGGAGCAGGCGGCAAATACTTTGGATGCCCTGTTAGGACACCTATGTATCAGAAAATAGGAAATAACTCTCACAAATCCAAGGGCCTCTCAGATTAGTGAAATTATAGTGATCCAGTTGCCTGGGGCAAACTGATGCTCTATGATGTAGCTGTGGCATACCAGAATGTTTTATGGTGTCTTTGACAAACATCACTGGGAGGGCTGCAGGGCAGAATCCTAGGGTTCTAGAGCAAGACCTTGCCATCTGTATCACGGAACTATTCAGCACTCGAGGAGCAGTTTTTGGCTTGCTACTGGGCCTTGGTATAGACTGAACAACTGACCATGCGACAGCAGGTGGCTGGAGTCTTCCATCATGTCTTGGGTATTTTCAGACTTACCAAATCAGACAGGTGCAGCAGCAACCCATCAAATCATGGAAATACTACCTTTGGGACCTGGGCATCTCTGGAAAACACAAGTTATAAGAATAAATGGTCCATATCTGTGTACACCTATCTCTTTTGCACCAGTGTCTGCACTATGGTCTCATTGGTGCTTCCCTAAGACCAGCTGATGAAGGAGGAAAAGTCTTGGACCTTGTTCACGAGTGGGTCAGCTCAGTGAATCTTGGACCTTGTTCACGGGTGGGTCAGCTCAATGAATTGGTACAATTGATATGTTGCTACTTTATAGCTCTGCTCAGTGATGGCTCTGAAAGACAGTGGTAGGGGAAATTCTCCCAGTGGGCAGAGCTTAGAATAACATGCCTGGCAATCAATTTTGTGTGGAGGGAGAAGTCTGAGGTAAGGAAACACTCAGATTAATAAGCAGCATTGAATGACTTAGCTGTTCAGCCAGAGGCTTAGGATAGGCAAGATTGGAAGCTCAGAAACAAAATGTCTAAATAAGACATGTGTGATACATCTAGGGGAGTGTGAGGACCTTTGTATTCTCATCAGTGCCAACGAGAAGCATCCTCTGCACAGGAGGCACAGAACAACCAAAGGAATAGGACGATGCATTCAGCGGAAATCAGTGCAGACCCTTTCCTTGGTCACCCTAGCTCTTGCGTAATGAGGCTGTGGACATGTTAGTAATGGAGGTGGAGACAGAGGCTATGCATGGGCCCAAGAACATGGGATTCATTGCAAGGCTGATCTAGCTTCTATCCTTGCTGACCGTTTGAACTGTCAGCAGCCAAGACTGGTGCTGACAGTCAGCAAGGATAATAGCTAGATTCCTTGATATGGAATCACCTGCTAGGAGACCAACTGGCTACCTGGTTGCAGGTTGATTACATTAGGACTCTTCCATCCTGGAAGGCATGCTGAGTCATCCTACTGGGATGATTTCAAACTCTAGGTATGGGTTTCCTTTCCTGCCTTCAGTGTTTCAGCTAGCATGACTTTACAAAAGTTCTCAGTCTTTTTGATTTGTCATCATGGGATCCCACACTATACCACCTCAGACTAAATGACCTACTTTACAGTGAAGGAATGTGACAATGGACACATGACTTTGCCCTCCACTGGTGCTACTGTATTCTACATCATTCAGAAGTTGCTGGCCTGATAGAATGTTGGGATGGCTTCTTAAACATGCAGATTACTTGTTAACTTGGAGATGATACCCAGAGAGGATGGGATACCATTCTTCAAGATGGCATAAATAGTTTAAACCAGTAACTAGTATACATTTTTCTCATAGGTAGAATACACAGGTCTGGGAACCCGGTGGTTGAAGCAGGACCCCGTGACCTTGCCTTAAAAAAAAAAAGGGGCACAAGTGGATCTGAGTGGTACAAGGGCTGGACTGTGACAGCCTCTCTTAGTGCCCTGCTCACATATCTGGGATCCTAGCATTTCATTGCATTCTGGATGACTTTCAACTCCCAGTATCTACTACTTTGCACTGGAGAACTTTTCCTGCAAGTGCAGAAAGCTGCTCTGCCTGCTTGCCCAGCAAGCTGGAAACACTGGGGAGTTAACAGCTCTCTGGAAGCAGCCCTCAGCCAAAGGCAGACAGAAGTGAATACCCCAGGTCCTTCATCAGTCGAGCAGGATAGCTTTGAGGCATGCAATTTGCAGTTTCTGAAGAGTTTTCCTGTGAGATTACTCTGTAGCTGCCCATTGTTTCAGCTGGTTTAATATGCACACTTTATTCGCTGCTTTTTCCTCTCTGTATCACTTTTCTACTTCTCTGCAATTTTTGCTTGTGACTTCCAAACAAAATACTTACGCTCAAATCCTTGTCTCAGAGTCTGTGTCTGGGAGAATCTAGCTGAGATAGTTTCCTACAATGTTTCTACCTTTATTCTCCATTTGCGTGGGTTTCTTACTCATATGTCCCATTCTGTTTTATCATATGTCATCTTTTGAATTATGTTTCCCAGGCAATAGACCCCTACAGTTCATTTCCTTCACTGGAGGCAGTGTAGTCCAGAACAAGTAGACAAATATCACCTGGGGCTAACTGAAAAACGGAACTCAAGTATCTAAGGCAGTTTAACAAAAGCCATATGCAATTAGTAGTAGAACTGGGCATAGATATGCCTTTTCAAAGACAACAGAGCTGGCATAAGTTTCACCAGGTTGGGAATACAAATGATAACCTTAGGCCGCCCTCTTGCCCGCAAGATCTTAACATCCCTCAAAGATGATACCAATTATTTCTGAGTGATTGAGTCCAGGTTGACATTCCAGAATTTGGGTTCTTTCTCTGCCTTTCTGGCTCCCTTTCTAGTCAACATCCACGGCTCTGGAACTGGCTGGTGTGTTCTTGGTGATAATGCCAGTGACTTTGCCTAGGGGATTGTCTCTCAAGGCTGTGGCTCCTTTGGTTCATGACACAGTCCAGGAAGCTGTTGAGTGTCCCTGTCAGCCGTCATGATGACGTCTCTGGTGAGAACACCCATGTCCTCACCAGGGGTCTCTCTCTGAAGCTCTCAGAGCTGCCATTCCTGGGGTGCAGGAATTGTCCAACCAGACCCGCAGAGCGTGGCCCCCTTCCAGACTTCTGAAGCTGCACGATTGGTGCCTGAGTTTTCATTTCACTCCTCAAGAGCATCTCCTTTAGCTTCTGAGCCTCATCCCCAATTCCCTGACAGCCACCAGTTAAACAAAGCATGCATATCACCCCAAGAACAAACAGCAATTTTCCTGCATAAAAATGACTGAACCCATTCTTCAAATATAAAATGAAGTAAAATTTCCCCAAAGGCAACTCAATGTATGGAGTAGAAAGTATACTTTACATGCAGACAGTATTTTTTTGTGAGCACAAAGAGCTCTTCAGTCTCAAGAACCACAGCTGTGTCTCAAAAGCCTCTTCTCCAATTATGGTCCTGGCTTGATATTTACATACCCAAATGGCCCATTTGAGCGGTTTTCCAGAAACAAAGCGTCCTCCAATGTCTTCCTATCTTTCCAACCCAAATTACTTAGAAATGGCAATGCTTCGCCTCCAGCTTCCCTTCCACTCCACACAGATTTCCTTCATTTCTATAATTTTTTTCAGTGATTTTAGGGCCAAGTTTTAAGAGACCAGCAGTATGTTCAAGGGATCATCTCAGGCAAATGTCTTAAAAATGGACCGTTTCCCCTGCAGTGAGGGAGGGAGGTGGAAAGTCCTGCAGCCTTCCTGGACAGACTAGACCATGGATGCTGACCAACCCAGAGCCATAGGCCTGGGCCGTTCTCCAGTACATTCATGCAACTAAAGTCAGCTTTTAAGCACAGCCTCATGTCAGAGACACTGTCCAGGCTGATGACAAATGGTCTTTCTGACTCTAAGTGCAAGACCGTTCTCTGATGCCTTTTAGAAAAGATGCTGGAATTTTGAGGATGGCAGGGCCACTTCCATGAATGTCCCTGTGGGGACCAGCTCTGGACAGCAATTGCCAACCACCCCAGTAGGAAAGTGACCATTACAAACTTTCTGCAGGTGAGGCAGACCTGCTAATCATTATAAAATGGCTGAACCATGTGCGGATGGCCAGGAAAAAGCAGTCATTTTCAATGTGAGTTTTAAAGCCTTCACCAAGTCCCTTGCCAACCCAGCTAATAGAAGGGAGGCTTGGGAAAGCTTACTCATCCTGCTTAGCCCAACTTTGTTCTGCCTCCTACTCAGTCATAAATTGCTGCACAGGCTGTGCTGGCTAAATTGACATTAAGAGTTATTAAAGGAATGAGTCTACAGTTCAGGAAATGTGCATTCATGGTAGGCTTCTGCAGTCTTAGGAAGAGCCAGGGCAGGGCAGGGGAAGCTGAGAGTTGCAGGGGTGGGGACTCACAGCTTGGAAAGCTGGAAGAAATCCTGGTGCTCCTGGAGGCCCGGTGTCTCCCGTGAAGGAGACACAGCCATAAAGGAACCCGATGGTGACTCATGCAGCCTTGTATGTGATACTGACTGATGGTCTGTGGGTTTATGTCTGGTTTCCACACACAGGTTTGTGTATGCATGTCTTCCTCCAAAAATCATCATTTTAATTTTTTGGCGGCCTGGTGGTATTCACCTTGGAGGGTGGGTGGAGGTTCCTCCTGTCTGTATATTGGCAGCTGTAGCTTCCTGTCTACCATGGCCCATGGGTCTCCCTACACCCAGAAGCAACACTTGTTCCCCTGTGTGGCTTGGTTAACATGGATCACACCCAATCTGCTGTTTCTCTTGCACTTGCTACTTTAACTCTTGTGGTGTCACCTATGCATTTGTGTATAACTCGTTTTCCCTACCAGATTGTGACCTCCTGGAGTACGGAAAATATCTGGTCTTCTCACTGTGCTATGGAGACAGTAGGTGTTCCACAAAATTAGTTTGCATGAGTAATTATGGAGCTGCTTCTGGGGCTGGCATCTGGAGGAAGACAATTACCTGTTACTTTAATTTTCTGTACAGGGAGAGCAGATATACTTGTTAGAATTTATTGTAAAACAAGATGAAGCTTGTCTATGATGTAAGCAGCCAAGACGTGGTGTCCAGGTTTTGTTAAAAGGTTTACTTTGGCACTTTTCCAGATAACTGTGTTTACCAGACGAGTGACCACTGGATAGCAGTAGTGAAGGTTTAATGACATCTTTGCTGTATGCCAGAGAACTTTCTGCAGGTTGTATGTGCATTAACATGTTTAATTCTCACAACAGTTTGAGCTAAGTTCCCCATCACACCTATTTTACAGATGAAGAAACTGAGATAGGCCAGGCACGGTGGCTCACGCCTGTAATCCCAGCACTTTGGGAGGCCGAGGCAGGTAGATCACGAGGTCAGGAGTTCGAGACCATCCTGGCCAACATGGTGAAACCCTGTCTCTACTAAAAATACAAAAATTAGCTGAGTGTGGTGGTGCATGCTTGTAATTCCAGCTACTTGGGAGGCTGAGGCATGAAAATCGCTTGAAGCCGGGAGGTGTGGGTTGCAGTGAGCTGATATTGCACCACTGAACTCCAGCCTGGCGACAGAGCAAGACTCCG